GTCCCCAGTGGCGGTGCAGGTAAACACATCACACAATCACACTACCACCTTGATAAAGGAAACGTATCAGGAAAAAGTACCTTTAGTATCTGCCTCAGGCCATCGACTTAAAGTCACAAAAATGGTAAAAATTCGAATGACATTGGGTAAAACCCGAATGTATCATTCATTTTGTGTGGTTACAGGACTAGGCCACGACATGATTTTAGGCGTAGACTTTCTCAATGAAAGAAAAGCTATCCTTGATTTCGATAATCAGCTACTGAAAATTGGAAAAGCGCTGTTTCCTCTAAATCAAAAACAAAACTGTCAGGAAGAAGAAATTAACTTAGTAAGACTGTCAGAAAGCGTCCAGCTGTATCCTAGATCATAAGCTCAACTTATATGTCAACCATCGAAAAGTAAAACTGCTGGAAAACAGTTTATTCTGACGCAACTTACGTCTTCCCCATGCTTTGAAGATGAACCTGGAATTCTCTTACCCAATGAAGTTGTTCACATGTCTAAAAACAAGCACGTCCCCTGGGCTATCGTGAATAAGACAGGCAGGCATCTTTATTTTCGGAAAGGTCAGACTTTAGGAAAAGCGTTCAATTTCAAAACAGAAGATGCGAGCTCGAGCGAAGGTGCGATGCAGAGCGATGTAAAGGGCCCCTGAGAAACTGAGAGTGACCCGACAGGTAAGCAGATGAGCTCTCGGCGATACCACAGAGAGCCTTTCGGACGACTTGTGGAAGAACCCATGAATGACCTTGATCGACAAGGGTGCCCCGGCATGCTAGCATATAGGGCCCCGACAGCAGCGTTTGGGCCCCGAGCAAGTGCAAAGAAATCAAGGGTAACGTGGAAGGCTTCTTAGTGTTCGAAATGCCCCTGCCAGTGGATATTTAAGGCCTCCGGCAGCAGCGTAAGGCCTCTAAACAGCATGCCACTTCGGGACCCAAAGGAGGGGTCATGATGGCTCCCTCTAGATCCGCCGCAGGATGCAACATCACATGACTTGCAACATGAAACTTGCTGATATTGCAAATTCATTCCGTTATTGTTCAAATCCCTCCACTACAAAATCCGGTTAGGAGCTACTAATGACGTTACGATAATTACTATAGTTGATATATATGTGTATATATAGATATATATATATATATATATATATATGTATATATATGTATATATATACATATATATATATACATATATATGTATATATATATATATATATATATATATATATATATATATATATATATATATATATATGTATACATCATTTATGTGGGTGTGGGTGTGGGTGTGGGTGTGTGGGCGTGGGTGTGGGTGTGGGTGTGGGTGTGGTGTGGGTGTGGGTGTGGGTGTGGGTGTGGGCGTGGGTGTGTTTATAAAAGGCAAGCAATTACTATTTTGCTTTTGATACTATCTAAGGTAGTTTTGGAAGTTGCCAAAACACAGCAATTTCTCCCGAAAACTGTGTCAAAGCTTTGAATACCTTTACCCCCTGTCATCGCAGTTTCAAAGCATTCAAACGTATTTCCACCTGCTACCTTTCTAATGCATTGAAGCAGCTTAAAATACCTGTATTGCATTCGCTCTATGGCGTCCGCAACACAGTGACTGCATGTCCAGGGTAGCTAATCTTTTAGAGTGCTCTGCGTTTTCATCCCGTTTATCATTTTTGTGGTCGAAAGCTGCAGTTTTATGTTGGTTGTATATGCACACATATATATATATATATATATATATATATATATATATATATGTATGTATATATATGTATATATATGTATATATATATATATTCCCTTAATGTGTAGACCAACTGAACAGCAATTGTGTTTTTCAGAAGCAACAACGCGACGCACGTCATCACGCCCTCCCCCCCCCCCCCCCTCCTTTTAAACAGTACCAGACACTGCACTGCCACATTAGCCCTCGGGTGTTACTGGAATTCAAACCCGGGCCCCACATGGAAGCTCAAGGTACTAACCACTTGGCCATTTCGCCCATTGTATACAGCATTCTAAATGGGGGCTGACACACCCGCAGGAAGCTTTTTATCGCCGCTGCTTTTTTACACGACGCTCATTTTAATCGCAACTGGATTTCTAGATGCCATCTTTCCATTCCCCAAACATCGTCTTGGACATGTCAGATTGTTGCTTATTACTTCTCCTAAAACCTAACACTCTTTAGGTTTGTGTTGTGTTTTCGTTTAATGGATGCGGTTGGTGACAAGTCTGATGCAGTTTGGTGACAGCCACTGGTCATTTAAATCAATGCTAGACAAAGCCAACCTCTAATAGCAATTTGACATTCTGACAGTAGAGTAAGTATCCTCCAGAGACAAACTGCCTTATAGGCACGAGTTTTGGTAGCGTAATAAATGGCATGTGTGTCGTGTATTGTTGCTGCAGAGTGATTTGATTGGTTTAACAATGCTGTGCAATTTCCAACAATCCTTTTCAATGGCTCTTGAGCCTTGCAAGACGAATGGAGGTGGCAGTGGAGCTCTATGGGACTCGGTTTCCCAGTGAATTGTTGTTGCAGCATTCTGCAATTTATTGCAACAAATTGTAAAACTTATTACTAAAAAGCCTTAACTTTCTGGAGCAGTTCCAGCAAAATGTTTGTGTCCTCTTGGGTCTTCTTTGCCTGCATGGGTCATTTGCCAGGCTCTGAAACATTTACAATCATTTTGGGACATGTTCACGACGGTAGAACCCACTGTGCATTCAAATGACTGGTTTTCACGGCAAGTGTACCCAGTGGCGTGCTGCACCCTGTGCTTGTTTCCGAACCATATACAGCTGCGAGGCTTGAGAATTCCTGGTGGGACACATTGGTAACTTCACTGCCTGAGAGAGGTACTGAGGCTACAATTAGAACATATCGGCATAAGGATGTGGTGGCGTGGTTCTTCCCATGCTGCAACCATGTGGCATGAGGCGGGTTATAGCGCGTCCTGCAATGCATTTCGCCTATTGCTCCTGACAGTATGTCTTAGGGTTCAAGCATGAACTGATTGGTGTTTTTTCAGGTTTTTCGTCCCTTCCATCTTTTGGGTTGCAATTCTTCCCACTGGCCTCTATCTTTTGTCCTCCCCCTCTCTCCCTCCCTTTTTCTTCGCCCATGCATTCGCTCCATCCTCACAACAGTTCATGCTGCAATAATTCTTCCCTTCCCCACTCAACGTTGGCCACAATTTGGACTTCTAATCTCCTTCAGTGGTACACAGGGTCGGACTGGAGTACTGCTCTTTAACACTCTAGCAATGTGGAACATTTTAAGAACCATACCAACCTAACCTCCGCATGTTACCACCTGCCCTTTCTTGACACGACACACTCTTTCGCGCGCGGGGCCTGCGTTTATTCGGGAAAAGTGACAATAGCTTGGAGCGAAGACGCCACTGCCTTGCATGCCCGGGTAGTTTCTCATCCCTAGCGTGGCCCAGGTAGAGTCCTCTCCTCTAAGGAGGTCCTGCCTTCCGACTATCAACCGCTCAGGGACTGGTTGGCTGGGATCATGATACCGGCTTTGCCGAGTACAACAACTTTCGTAAACACTTTCACGTTCAGCTGGGTCGCAACTTCCACCACATCTTGTGGGCATCGTTCCTGTTTCACGAGAGCCACCCGGGCCGTATACCCCAGCTTTACCGGCCAGCTGTACGCTTTGTTGGCCTCGCTGTGCCCCGCCAGTTCCAGGTCAGTTCGGCAACGGCAGTGCCAGCCTACGAGACCACCGGCACGGGAGCCACTGCAGTCACAGCCGCAACGCCCTATAGGTCTGGTAGGATGTCGATGCGGTGGCATGCCCGCAGGCGTATTTGCCGGCGCTCACCTGTGGTGCTCCCAAGCGCAACAAGATGGCGTTTTCGGGAGTGCCCGGAGCTGTATTTGCCGGCACTCACCTGTGGTGCTCCCACGCGCAACGAGATGGTGTTTTCGGGGGTGCCAGCAAGTGTATCGACGGCACTTTTGTTGCTGTCCCACGCGCAACACGGTGACGCTTTCGGCATTGGTGCGCTGGTTCAACGCGTAAGCGTTTGCTATACATCCCGGCCTTTTTCTGCGTTGTGGCATCTGTGTTTGGATCGTTGCTTCTCCCGTTGGCACTGTCGGTGACGGTGTTTTTCTAAAGCTAGTAATTTCTCAATCCCATCTCTGGAAAGCCTTGGTAGTATGCCTCACACAATCTGTAACTTAAAGGGAATGTTCCACAGTTAAAGATATTGAAGCAAACATCATGCATGGTGAAATAATCTCACTTATAACTATAAGTGTACTTTAAAGCTGCAAAGGATTCTCAAAACAACAACATTTGTCAGGTAAACATCCTCTTCAATACAGCATTGCTTGATTACGTCATCATACCTTGCGTAACGTTGATTGAGAGACACTTGACGAAATCGTGGTCACGGACGCCGGATATAAACGACTCGACAATCACATAATTTTCAGTCTTGACCACCGTATGCACAACGGAATGACAGGATTTGAATGACGCTATTATGGCGTCATGGATGCCTGTGTGACCTTGAAATAGTTTTCCTGAAATAGTCTGCACATCCTCACGGGCGTGTAGCTCAGAAACAGCACTGTTTTAGGCTTTGAGAAGGGCAAGGCTGTTAGCTGAACTGAAAGATCTTTACGACGCCTATTTCAGTTCAAAACCCCATGCAAATGTGGAACATTCCCGTTAAGCCGAAACACAAAATTCAATAAACGAATCTCCTCGTCCGCGCGTGTCCGCGGCGTCTAACATGACCGGCACTACCCGGCATTAGAGCTATTCTTCCCGATGTCGTGCCGGGGAGCAAGTGGACAAGGCTAATGGCGTCGTCGCGTGCCCACACTATCACGATCCCCCCTCCCCCCTCCCCAAGCGCTCTATCGCAAACACTGCCCACCTCCACACTGACGTACATGACAACCTGGGCGAAAATTGTCATACATTTGGGAGCTGAAGCCCCTCCCCCTTCCCCCACACATACACACGTACACGCAATGTGTCAGGGCATTGGCGTGGACCTCTAGGAAAAGCTTAGAAATAGCTTTTGGGATACTGGGTAAGCTTCAACGTCAGCTGCTACCCTCAGCTACCGGCTGCTACCCCGCTACCACAAGCGGTGTGGCAGGCTGCTGACAGCACCGTATGCTACCCTTTTTTCGTTACCGGGATTTGTCAGACACCTCACCAGTTTTCTCACATTACTGGCACCACCACCACCATCACAATCATAAGATGAGTGAAACGGCAGTCGACAATGCCATCATCAACTCAAGTAGCAGCGGGACAGGAGCGTCGGTGCTGGTCTGCTTTCCTCCTCCTGAGTTTTTCTCTGCGAAACCGCAGAACCAGAGACGTCAATGCGCGACAAGGGAAACCCTTTGTCTGAGCATCTATGTCAACACATTGCGCGATATGAAAAACTTTGATTGGGGGCAGCATGCACTAAACAGCACTAAATATCACGAAACAACGGAAAATACAACAAAACTTTCACTGAAAGACATAATGAGTACATGCTGACACCAATGGGAGTAGGAGCCGGGAAGAAAGGACAGCATACCTTCCCCACTACAAGACATTCTTTGGATTTGGGCAAAGCAATGATCTTGGACGAGTTAGTTGATGAATGGCGATAATTTGAATCTGCCTCATATCCTAAAAGGGACGGGGCACAGATCCCAGAATTTCGGACGGTCAAACGAAGTCATTCGCTGTTCCTAAAATAAATTGTTGCCATGCACTATTATGGCGTGACTTTAGTTATAAAAGAGGCAGAACAAAGGGGGGCAATATTACTTTCGAAGCGTCTTAATCAGCTTAACCCGCCGTAAACCTCCTGCCAGAGGTCTTAATTTACGTCGCTTTGTGAGCACCCAGGTCCTCTGAATGTTGATTTGAGTCGATTTGTTGAGCCCGCGGAAAAAATTACACCGTAAACAAAGTTTATCTTCGCCGGCATGTCTATCTAGATATGATTAGTAAACACGCTAATTACGCTGAACAGTAAATATTTTCATATTTACCTTTAGCAATGTTTTTGTGTTAAAAGAGGCAATTTGATCAATGATACAAAATTTAAAAGAAAAATCGTGCTCCGTCGAAATAAGGAACGCTAAGCCCGTTGAGAAGCAGGCATTAGGGAGAGACAGGTTGTTGGCCTCTCGACTCGCCACCCCCCCCCCCCCCTCCCCTAACAAAGACATACAGGAATCGACGCTCTTGGCAACTGCCGACAATATCAATAGACTTTGGACCCCGCCTTATGTCTTTCCATATATGAAAGTATCACTGGGGAGATCAATATTCTCTTGTTAGCTTTTGTGTCCTGGGACAAAGCAAAATTTTGCAGGAGGAAAGCCACCAAAAAGCCAAAGTGAGCGCAATGAGATTATCATGCAATTCAGAACATACAGCGGAGCTTCCGACATCTTTGAGTTCTGTTTTGCCAGTGGAATCAACCTCTTGAGTACGATCGTAAAGGCCAAACAATCACACAGCTAATAGGAGTGCTGAATGGCTCTGCAAACCTAGCCAAATGCATAGTTTCTCACAACCAGTCAAGAGTATAATGCAGTTACTCACAACCTTGCAAGAAAATAGCGCCATAACGAACGGGGTACCAGTGTTCGCTTATGATAACGCAACCCCATTGCTTTCTCCGGCCTTCCGGGCAATACGTAAGTCTTAAACCGGCCTGGAGCTGGATATGCCTCGGTGGCATTACACTTGGCTTGCATCGGTTTCAACATGTTCGTTGGGCCTGCCATTAAGCATTGTATTTCTCTATGACGCATAATCGTCTGGCATCCGGTGACCTCTGAAGGTCACAGTTGTTATGCCCGGAAAAATCCTAAGGTGCCCTCGTTTTCTGGTATATTGCATACTTCCAGCGATTCTAAAAAGAAACAATAGAAGAGGTCGGAGCCTTCCAAGTCGTGGTGCCCACGTTCAGGTCAGCGGGAAATAATGCATTGTGCCAGAAGCTAATCATACATATAATAGTAGAGATTTCTGAGTTCATCTTTTGAAGTAAGCGCCATTACATGATGCATTTGACATCATTCGGCTCTGCATCACATTTTTTGTTTGTAGAGGTGTTATTTGTGCTTGGTTGCAAAGGGTAATCACGTGACCTGCGATGACCGCAACCTTGGTTCGGTAAATTAATTCTTGCCCTTAAAAATTTTGCTACAACTGGTGTGTATGTTCAATCATAAAAGTTTAGATCGGGTTCAGTATTAATCTGATGATCCAGTATTAAGTTTTATAGTTGTAAATTAAGATTTCCGGATACGGTGACGTCTAAATATCACAGATTTTGGTGCCCGCAAAAATCTGAAGATATGCCCTCGTTATCTGGGAAGGTGGACATTTGTAGTATTTTAAACAAAATCGATGAGGCTGGGTTTCTCCAGTTTTTTTGTGCCTCCTGCTGAAATCAATGGAAAATATTGAATTTTACGAAAAACTGATAATTACAGAAATTTGTGATAATACATTTTTATCTGTTTGGGTTAGCTTTCTTTGAACCATTTTTTAATCTGCGTGATACAGCGGATCAGATGGTAAATAGCATGTGTACTGTTTATCGACATTTAACAGTTGATCTTTTATAAGCACTGAAGTTCGAATGGCTCTCTGCCCCCACAAACACCTTTACTTCAGGCGTCAGCGTACTCTGTGCTAGCCCTGGTAATTAAAATGTGAGGTATCGTCGATTTGTGTTAAATGTGGGCATTGAACTGCACCTAACACCATACGTCCGGTAGGGTGGTTGTGGTATGGTAGCAAAACATGAGAATGAGCATTCGGATACGATACCCAGGTATCGCCTACCACCTAACTTGCTAAGAAATCCATGATTTCCTAAATCCGCAATATGCAATGCATCGCCACCACCTAGTTGCCTTTTTGTAACTTCATGATACCCTTAACACGCGCTCGGGTGGGATCAAATTACCCCCCCCCCCCGAAGGTTTTTCCAGAATGGTTTCCGAACGGCGCGGCGCAGCCGCGCCAAATTTTGCATAGATGTAGACAGTTGAATAGCGGGTCGTTTGGCACCAAAACTTTAGATGTATCTTGCAAGTTCGTTGACTTATGGCAGGTCAAAGTCAGGTCATTATTTCAGCGAAGGCAATTTCTAGGAAATCTTTCAATTTGATCCATCAACGGAGTGTTAGACGAAGTCATACATCTCTGAGACGCTTTCTTAGGCAACACAACAGTTGAATGAGCATATTACATTGACCTAAGGTCATGTATGACGGTCACACCAAGGTCAAAACTAACCTGTTTTATTACTCTGGGGCTTGCTGCGTGGAATAGTTTCTGGTGCTCATTTCGAATTCATTGATAGCAGAAACCGCATTATACACCATTCACGGACTTCTTAGAGGTCAGAATAGATCACTGACCTAAAATGACCCAGGTGAACATTTGGTTTTTAGGAGCATACTGTCTAGCGTAAACTTTATCACTTATTCAAATGTAAAACTCAGAGCAGTCTTGTATGATATTGGTCACCATGACCTTCAACAGGTCAAACAAGGCCATTGACCTTAAATGAGCATGTGACCTTTTTTTTAGAAACGGTCATCTAGGTTCTGGGGGCAATTTGGAGACCAACCTGGAACTTGACCTTGTTTAAACCTTTTTTGACCCAAAGGTCATAACCTAGAAGCCTGAAACTTTGACTAAAGTGAGTTCACGTATAGGTCAACACATCTTGTAAATTTGGTGTTTTTAGCTCACTTAGTTGCTGAGATCTCAGCGGGGTCAAATTGCCCCCCCCCCCCTCCCCCCATCCGAGCAAAGGATATCTAGCCGGCCGCCCGGGCGCCTATTAACTCACAACATACATGCTTAAGTAGATTTCTCCAATGAGCCACGGTCCTTCGGTTTACTGATTACATGGCCTAAGAAAGCGAGCTGGCTTTCCTTCAGGCGGAATGGCAAAGACCGAGCCACTGCCCCCTAGTTACCTATTTGTAACTTCAAGACGCCTTTAACTCACAACATACATGCTTCAGTGGGTACCTGCCACGAGCCACGGTCTTTCAGTTCGGCGATTACATAGCCTAAGAAAGCGAGCTGACTTTTTTCCAGGCATGCTTACAAAGACTGTGCCACTGCCCTTTTTAAGATTTTGCTTCATTTTGGCAACTGAACCACTTCAAATTTAAAATCTTCCTCCTTGGTCAACTAGCTGCCACTTAAAGCTCAGAGCTGTGAGTTGTATAAAACAACCCGTTTTGGTCGATAAAACCTGAAAATTTGAACCAAACCACTAACCTCTGACATGCAGATTCAACCGCAGCTTTGCGCCCGAGTCCGAAGTAACCTGGCAGATGTAGATGCCGGCGTCCCGCTGCTTCACGTCTTTAATCCTCAGCACCCACTCATCACTGTCATGCTGTGGGTGGCAGGGAACAGAAGACTGAGGCCCTCGGCACCCCCCTCCCCTCACTGTCCTGCTGTGGGTGACGGGAACAGAGGACTGAGGTCTTCAGCATCCACCCCTCACTATCCTGCTGTGGGTGACGGGGAACAGAGGACTGAGGTTTTCTGCACCTACCCCCTCACTGTCCTGCTGTGGGTGACGGGGAACAGAGGACTGAGGTCTTCACCATCCACCCCTCACTCTCCTGCTGTGGGTGACGGGGAACAGAGGATTGGGGTACCCAATGTACCCACTAGTCACTGGCCATATATAGAAGACAGAGAACAGAGGAATCAAAACTTCAGCACACATTCGTTGTTTTCATTAACCCCTGTTTTTCGCTGTAACTGAAGGATTCCTGAAACTGTAGTTGAATGCGGTATTTGTCTCTGACCAAACATAAGTGTGGACGCTACTTTCCAGCCCCCCCCCCCCCCCCAGGGTCATTCTGAGACCGGGGGTGGGGGGGGACAAAATATGATAGCTCTGTCAAGTTTAAAAAGCGTAACTCTATGCTCTCCAGGATGGTATTTATGTTATGGTACGGGATTTTTGAATCGCCTTCCAATTGCTTTGCTTGGGAGCAGGCTTAGGACACCCCGTCGATCTGCAGAGGCTGGCAACGGCACTGACGCTGCCCACATCACCATCACCAAGGTCATGATGCTGAAACTGACGCAGATACTGACCTGGCGGTGGGCAGAAAACCTTGGGTCCTCGCTGTAGGTGAACACGCCAAGGGTGAGAATGGAGACGTCTCGCTCTAGGATCCACGCTACCTGTCGCAGAGAAGGTTCGCTCAGGTACAGGACGGTTTGGGCCCAAGGACCTATGGCGGTGGGCTCTGACGCCTAGCCGGGCCTTTAAAGGTGAATATTCCGCATTTGAAGATATTGAAGCAACCATGAAATGTGACGAATTGAGGTCACTTGAACTCACTTGCACATTGGTATACTTTAAAGTGGAAAAGATTGCTCTAGACAGCAGAAGTTCTCCGTTGAGTAAATATGGCCCTCACTAAGTAATTGTCTGACTGCATCATCGTACCTTGCACAACGTTGTTTGAGAGTCAATTGACGGTTGTTTTGTCTGGAAATCGTGCTCACGAACGCCAGATATGAACGACTAGGCTTTGGCCTGGATCGCCGCATGGCTTATGTAATGGCAGGTTTTCAATGGCGTTATCATGGCGTCATGAATGCCCGGATAACCTTGGAAAAGCCTACCCAAAATAAGCTGCACATCTTCGCGGGCGTGCAACTCAGAAGCTAGACGGGTTTAAGTCTTAAGAAGGGCAGAGCTGTAAACTGAAAGACCCGCCTCCGATTAGCTAGCGGATTCCAGCCTTTTAGCGACTTCGTGACTGCGCCGAAGACGCAGGGGCACTCTGGGTCTAGATAGGAAAGGCCCCTCTCCGTGGTGTTAGGTGCCTTGACGCGCGTTAAGTGCTGGCCATGTATGCTTTTTAAGCTAAGCTATGTGAGCCCCGTTTGACTCTGGCACACCATGGTCATGAAACTAAGATAAACTTACACCCAAACTGAACATTTGCATGCGTGCTGTGGTTAACTGCATATTTGTAAGCGTAATATTTTCGGTGGATAATATTCATAAAATCCATCGAAACGTTGGCAAATGCAATATTATTCGCTTCGAACACAATGAAGATGATAACCACGCAACTCAATGCCCTGAAAAACTACCAGGGTTACGCGTCCTGAATTCGCTGTATGGTACGACTAACAATGTATACTCGAAAACCTGCTCTCAGAATACTCATATATATATATATATATATATATATATATATATATATATATATATATGTGTGTGTGTGTGTGTGTGTGTGTGTGTGTGTGTGTATGTGTGTGTGTGTGTGTGTGGTGTGTGTGTGTGTGTGTGTGTGTGTGACAAGGTGTATGCCAAATGTCATGCTGTAAGCGTATATCACATGCATTTTTCGCTCCACCAGGACATTTTTACAATTCATGGCCACCCCTGTACATGTATCGGCCAAAGACCGTCGGTAGGAGTCAGCCTCCGTTTGCGACGTCGAGGGCTTTGTTTTAGCGACAAAGGATGGCCAGGCGTGTGTGTACTGACCGAATGTCTGCCGGGTTCTGAGAATCGGCAGGAGAGATCGACGGTCTCTCCGACCACCGCCTGGATGTCAGTCGGGTGACGCGCGTCTGCATGGTCCGTCTGCGTGCCTGACGCCGGGCCAGCTGGGTGTGCTTCGGTCGCCGGGCCGCCTGATGTGTGACACGGGGAGTCATATGAGGCATTTGATGAAGTTGCTGGCGGGATGATAGTAAATCGCGAACACCACTGCACTGCAACCAGCTGTATGGCATGCACTACAACTCAATTGGACGGTTTCACATTGTCAAGATGGCGTCGGTATACGCAGCGATATACACTTTGGCTACCTAATATCGATCCTACACAGAACGAACTTTGCTCAACGACCGTTTCGCGTTGGTGAGGCAACACACGTCGTGGCAATCCTGCTAGCACTTGTCCTCGAACCTGCAGTCAGCGTAGCCACCAGCACCAACAGCAAGTGCCCTCGCATGTTGTCCGCTCAGCAACTTCTGCCGCTGCTGAAGATTGAGATAGCAGCGGTGAGCACTGATAAGTCAGAAGTCGGCTGTAGAGGCGTGGCAGATGTCCGTCAAGTTGGGATCCCATTCGTATCCGAATTTAACGTGGACTGCAGATTTCCAACCGGTTTTTCGCAAAGGTCAAACCCACTGAAGCCTTGAATCTGCTATCCTCCTTTCCCTAAGTCACTTAGCTTGACCTCTACAGGTCAACGGAAGGTAATAATTTGGGTGACCCGTCATTCCTTGGTTTACCGAAGAAATCCAACGAAAGGGGTATTATAAGCGTTTGCGGGCCTGGTTCACTAAGCGACAGAGGTTCTATGAATGATTTGAATTTGCATTATTTCGGAATGCACTTAACACCACCCATGGGATTGCCTGGTCGACCCGACCCGACCACTGGCTGCCCGGATGCCTGACGGGAACCGGGTGTGATGTGCTGACAACCAGGGACGTAGTTGGATTATGGGAAGCAAACTTCATCCGTAAGCCACTATTTCGTACAGCATCACGGGTTGAATGCCTTGCAACATTGACGGAAATCGGTGGATAACAGCCTATTGAACGGCGTACCTGGGATTATATTCGTTCGAGCCAGGGGTAAAAGTTGCCATTGTGCTTGCCGATTTCGCGTCATCTAGTCTTGCGTCAAAGCTTATGAGGCACAGCAAAGAGGGTAGCAATAAATGATCCCGAAATATGATTTGATGCCTTCTTCTGTAATGAGCTCACGCTCACCTCACTACGACAAAATCAACGCTTTTTTGGCTTTTGAATCAAGCTTTCAACAATTCATGTTTCTACTTGTTGGAGCGTTGTTGCGCATTCTAGCAGCTCAAGGAAACACCACTTGCCCCACTGCATATGCCAGATCCTAGATCCAGACCCTACGCCACCACTTGCCCTACTGCAAATGCCAGATCCTATTACGTCCGCCACTATCACTTTTCAATGCTGCTGCAAGGTTTTGGGGCATTGCCAGGCTTTGTAGTGACTCCAAAACACATCTTGAGAAGCCCCCAATGGAGGTGCTGTTTTGCCGTACCAGTGAGCTTTGCTGCAAAAGTACGGAATTTCTTAGAGCCCCTTATTGTATCCATCGGAAATCCTTCAATCGATGTATGGTTTCTCCGACATTTCTCAAAGTAAGGAGTTCGGGTAATGCATTTGATTATCACTATGCGTCACCTTTCAGACTGCAACGAATGAATGGAGGAATGACGACTGTCGGACACCCGCAATATACGGCCCGTGCTGGCTTCGTCGTTTTGCTCGAAATTCTCGCTGTCGGCGGCAGAGCGATCGGCTGGCGGCATCTTGATGATGTAAAAATGAGGAATTAAAACCCTGTCGTAAGATTGATGTATGGACGTGACAATGTATAGAATGTCTGATAGATGGATGGTTTGTACGGTGAATGAATAGGTGCATGTGGTGGTGTAAATTTGGCCCCACGCTCACGAACAAGAGCATGTCGTATTCAGCACCGTTTTTTTAAGCCGACATTTCCGGCTTTCTGAAAATGATCGGCACAACCATGGGTTGCACAGGATCGTGTTGGCGACATGAATTGCAGATGATACGTTGTTCGACGCTCTGAATTGGCTTTGCACTTCTACCCGCTCTGACTGCCGAGCTATTGGTACAAAACGTGAGAACTGTACAAAATCGCCAAATCCATCTTAGATGCTCCGGCGCATGCAGCATGTGCCACGTGTTTCTCGACATCTGGCACACACGATTCCCCGTTATCTACCTAAGCGTGTCAATTTCTTATCGCTCCGACCCCTGGTTGCCGAGATGTGACCACAGTTTCGAACCACTGCTCGTCAGCTTTGTCGTCGGTCACATTTTCGGAGCGCTCATTCAAAGCCAATGGGCCTAAGACGACCTCTCCGTCACATGCCACCCCCGATCCCCGGACCGCAATGGCTCGCGACCCACCCGTGGAAAACCGTCTCGTGCGAAAACCGTCTGCGCGTCGTGTTGAAATTTCGCCGCTCAGCGACCCGCTGTCCGGTCCGTGCATGGCGCTACGCGAAACGGGAGAGACAGGCCGTACCATAAGCAAACATTGTAGAGATGTTGATCTTCGTAATGCCGACTTTTGTCACATGTACAAAACTTCACTCGCAAGGTAAAAAGTCAAGGTCACGTAAAATAAGAAATCCTAGCTTTACGTCGCTCACGAACCAATTGCATTAAAAAGGGCGTCATATTGATGCTCATGATGTCCGCTTTCGCCGCACGCGCAAAAACTAGCTTTCAAGCTCAACGAACAAAGACCCTCAGAACGCGGTGTGACGGCTTTGATTTGCTTTTCAAACCAATACAACAACAAGGATAAAAATGGTACTGATTGCTACGTTCACTTTCATCATGCTTGGAAAGCTTGTTCTTAAGATAAAAAGGTCAAGGTCACACAGAACGCGAAACCCCGGCGTGTATTCGGTTACCTAAGAAGTGAAATAGACATGGCGCTATATTGATGCTCGTAACGTCTCCTCTTGTCTGCTTGTCCGCTTTTGTTGCATTTGCTTCATGAGCAAAAATAGATGTTAGTGCCTGAACAAAACTGACAAATACGTGACCTTGCGCGTCTGCTTTTGACCTTGCGCGAACGGCATAGCCGCGCCCGCAATAACAGGCACACGACCTAAAGCCAGCCACGAGGACAGACTTACGGCCCATAGCCAAATGCGAGGGCAGATGTACGAGCTATATCCAGCTGCGAGGACAGGTGCTCGACCTATAGCCAAATGCGAGGACAGGCACACGACCTATAGCCAACCGCGAGGACAGATGTACGGCCCATAGCCAAATGCGAGGGCAGATGTACGAGCTATATCCAGCTGCGAGGACAGGTGCACGGCTTATAGCCAGCCACGAGGACAGGCGCACGACCTATAGCCAAATGCGAGGGCAGATGTACGAGCTATATCCAGCTGCGAGGACAGGTGCACGGCCTATAGCCAGCCACGAGGACAGGCGCACGACCTATAGCCAGCCACGAGGACAGGCACACGACCTACAGTTAGCCGCGAGGACAGATGTACGGCCCATAGCCAAACGCGAGGGAAGATGTACGACCTGTAGCCAGCTGCGATAACAGACACACGACCTATAGCCAGTCACGAGGACAGGCACACGACCTACGGTCAGTCGCTAGGACAGGCACACGACCTATAGCCAGCTGCTAGGACAGACAAACGACATACAGCCAGCCGCTAGGACAGGCACACGACCTACAGCCAGCTGCTAGGACAGACACACGACATACAGCCAGCCGCTAGGACAGATACACGACCTATAGCCAGCCGCGGGGACAGACACACGACCCTACAGCCATCCGCGAGGACAGACACACGACCTATAGCCATCCGCGGGGACAGACACACGACCTACAGCCATCCGCGAGGACAGACACACGACCTATAGCCAGCCGCGGGGACAGACACACGACCTACAGCCATCCGCGAGGACAGACATACGACCTATAGCCAGCTGCGAGGACAGACACAAGACCTTTACCCAACCGCAAGGACAGGTGCACATCATTCCCCCGGGCACAGAGAACGAGGAGACACGAACGACACGCACCAGTCTCCACCCACCGCCGAAGTACTTGCTGGACACTGGCCGACGTGCTGACCCCCGCAACAGAACCGCTGCACTAGGCCTCAGATCACGCCTGTGGAGGTATTGCCAGCCGTCGGCCAGGAATGCATACGCAAGTTTTATTTCTGCCCGGCTTGTCCTTGGACTTCGGCATGTTTATGAAGTCCCGCCTGTTGCCGCCCCGCCGCCTCGCAAGTCCTCTGGTACATTGGTAGCCCCTGTTGTTTGGAGTGCCTTGGTTATTCCCGCTCCCCGATGATATCAGGGCTCCTTGGCAACATCTGCCCACCCGTTTCCCTCACATCTGAAGGGAAACCGGAGACGCCCACTGTCCTTTTAGATATCCTCGCCGCCTGGTCATGCCCAAAATCCCGTCGACTCGGTAATCCCTGGCACGTATCACAGTACGTCTACAGTACGTCTATCGTACGTCGTAAGTCTATCACAGTACAGTACGTCCCCACCGAACAGGACGAGCGCACCGAGGTCACAAACGGGATCACCCGGGCCCTGCGTTGGGCCTCCTGGCGATGCCGCTCCCGTTCATTGCTGGCAGTTTCCGGCCGTCCGGTTACTTTGTATGACCCACCGCCTGCCCACTGGTCACTGACCGGGCCGCCACATCGCCGACTTTGCTAGCACGGACGAATCAGGCATTACCACTGATTATATAGGAGATTTTTCACGACACCCCGCGCCCGAAACAAGTGATGGTCTGCTGCATTTCTGTATTTACATGAAGCCATATGAACAGCCCTGGACAGCCCTGGCGTCGGGTAACGCACCCATGACAACCTTAGACAGCTGTCAGCGCGTCCACGGCAGCGCCCAGCGTCTCCATGGCAACATCATCCGACTCCTGAGCAGGACCCCGCAGCGCCCGGCGGCCGCCGCCCGGCTCCACCACCGAGACACCCCACTCGACACGGCACGGCACGACACGACACGGCAGCAGCACACGACTGGAGGCGAGGCGAGGCGGCGCGACCCGCATGCTTTTGTCCAGGAGCCGGACTGAGCGCCCCGACAGACCAGGCCCGCGCGGGCGCCACGGCCGACCCGCCCGTCCCACTCCTCTCCCGTCCTCCTCCTGCTCCATCGGCGTCCTGCTTCGGGTAACGGGAGTCACAGCGACCAGCGCTGAAGAAGGACGCGTATGGGTGACCCACCCACGCGGTGGGCGGGTGTCTCGCCAGGCCCAGGGACGCCTCTTCTCTGGGGTTAGCGGAACAGGAGAGCGGACCGGCAGGAAGGCCGCACCCAACCACAACGCGACATACGAGTCGTCAAACAGGCGTCACCCGAGGTCAGCGGAGCGTGATCATCGGCCGCGCTGTCATTCCCACGGAATATTCACTTCGGTGCCAACGGATTACGCGACAGGCTCTTTGGACAGGTCCGATTCGAAGCGGATGGTGCACACTGCGGAAGAAATGTGTGCACAGCCTTGCTCGCCGCCGTAACCAATGCCGCAGAGCTATCATCCCGCTGCACCCGGGCCCTCGCCAGTACTGTGGCGCTTCGTGGCCGGTAGATGCGGCCGCTCGCTCTCGACACCGCACTGCCTGCCGTGATCACACTGGAAAGTACCCGTCCCGCTTCACGCGAAACTCACGGACGGCGACAAGGCGTACCGCTCGCTCGGCCCACCGCGAATCGTGCTAGCGACCCTGTCTGACTGTCCGTCCCGCACTGATCTCACTATCCCCGGCGTCTCGCCTAGCTCATGCCAGTCGGCCCGTCCGACATTCCTGTGGTCACGCTCTCCGTCACCGAGCCGCTGGCTGGCCGCGCGCCCATCTTGCCATCTGGCGGCACGGCGGTGCTGCCATCTATCGCGGCGGCGGCGTTCCTGCCGGTTACGGAGCCGTATATGGCCATGGCCTGTGACACCATGCCGGCCATGTTGCCCGTGTCGGCCGGCAGCAGCATGGTGTTGCTGCTCTTGGCCAGACTCTGGAAGGCGCGCACGTACTGCTCGGCGATGGCCAGCGAGGCGGCGTTCTGGCCGTTCGGCAGTGAGAGCGCCTCCGAGATGACGGCCAGCGACTGGGCGCGCGCGCGCGCCACAGCCAGCAGCGCCTCCGCCTCGCCCTCCGCCTTGTTCACCAGCTCGGCGCGCGCCGCCTCTGCGGGTGCGGACAAGGACACGTGATCGGGGCGCCGTGACCGGACACCGCAGGCACATGCGCCAGCAAACAGCGCAATGCGACGACGTAATGCAACTTGCTCTTGCCATTCACGGCTGTTTGAAGGCCCAAGGATAACGCGCAACATAAGCAGTAGCAAGCAGGCTCGGATTACGTGGCTGTGGAGCGAGTCCCTTCAGGTCAGCGAAGTCGCCAGTTGATATACGCTAGCTCATATCCGCGCAGCTCGAAACAGCGCAGGTTCGTAGCTTGGTTGCATGACGCCAGAGTGAATGTGAGGACCATCCGTGCGGACACGAGCGACAGCGCCACACCCACCTGAGGCAAGAATCACGCTCTGCTTCTGGCCCTCGGCCATGTTAATCTCGGCCATGCGGACGCCCTCCGACTCCAAGATGGCGGCCCGCTTCTTGCGCTCCGCCTGCGCCTGCATCTGCATCGCCTCCTGCACGTTGTGCGGCAGCTTGATGTCGCCTACGAGGTGAAGCGGCGCGATTAGAATCCAGTCAGCGTCCGCCGAAGACGACAAGCACGGTGTGTGTTGCGCTGTTGTCGCGGACATCCGATATCTGTGGTGAATCATGTAGGTGGCCTATCGTGGTGGTGCAGTGAATGGGACGCCAACGGCCATGCGGTGTGGAGATAGGCCCCCGGACCACTCATCGCAAATCTGGGTTCGAATCTCACACAATGCGTAAAATTTATACTGAAAACGTCTCGCTTACCAGTGTGAGTAGTTTGCAACGCTGGTGCAGGCAGAATAATACATGCCGATACAGACAGTCCAAAGTACCCCTAACCGCTGGTCGTAGAGGCCAGAAGCCAAAGAGTACCACCCCGCCCGGCCCACCCACTTGACCGGCTCACACTCCTCGTCCCCCAGCGGCAGGACCAGGACCAAGACGCTTCAGCAGCGGGTGACCTGGTCCCCGCACCCCAGCACCCACACCGACAGTGGCACCCGGCACGTACGAATCTCATATCGCAGGCAGGTGATGCCCCAGGACTCGCTGGCCTTGTTGATGGAGTCGACGATGGCGATGTTGAGGCTCTCGCGCTCGCGGAAGACTTGTCCAGCTGGATCTTGCCCAGCTCCGACCTGACCGAGGACACAGACGGGTGACCCGTGGCGGCTTCCACGCGGCGGCGGCCTCACCGCCCGGCGACTTGAGCTCACGCGTACGACTGTCACCAGGTCATTAAGGTGTTCACAGGGTAAAACGCAAAAAGTACGGCGGATTCACCGGCGCCAGCGGCCACCAGACTAGTCACGTGACTGGCGGTGACCACGTACGCCACCGGGGCAGCCGCTCGGACATGACACGTGACCAGCGGTGACCATGGGCGCCGCTGGGGCGCCGGTCGGTCGGCCCGAACATGGCACGTGACCGGCGGTGACCACGGGCGCCGCTGGGGCGCCGGCCGGTGGGCCGAACATGACACCTGACCAGCGGTGACCACAGGCGCCGCTGGGGCGCCGGCCGGTCGGCCAAACATGACACGTGACCAGCGGCGACCACGGGCGCCGCTGGGGCACCGGCCGGTCGGCCAAACATGACACGTGACCAGCGGTGACCACGGGCGCCGCCGAAGTGCCGGGCGGTCGGTCGGACAAACTCACGGCACCGACCCGGGCGCAGAAGCTGAGATTGGAGCCGAGACGGGCGTGACAATGATGGAGGCTCCAGAAATATCCCGTGGGCCCGTAGAAGCCTACGGTAGGGGGACTCGGCGCACCAGACCATGAAGGTGCGAAAGGTCTGACCCAGCCATAATTTATTCAGGCTATATAGCGGTTGTTTTACAGCCATCGGCGCGCGTTCCATTCCAACTCACTTGAAGCACGCCACCCTCTGTTTGCAAACGGCAATAGCGTACCGAACCGCCCCCCCCCCCCCCCCCATTCTTCTCACGTGCGGTGTGGCCCTACCTCATGGTGGTCTGGGCCAGCTGCGTGATGGCAAATTCCGGATCCTCAAACGCCGTAGCTGGCCTTGTACGGGTCGACGACGCGCAGGAACAGCACGCCGTCGATGTTTAACAGCACGTTATCTGACGCAGAGAGCGGCGCGTCAGAAGGGCACCGCGCGGGGGTCACGGGGTATGGGGTCACGACCCGATGGCACGCGGGGCGCGGGGAGGACCGTACAGACCGGCCAGCGAGCTGCCGTTGCTGCGCTGGCGCACAGCACAGGATGCTCATATTGCAAGAATTTATGCTGTGGAATGTTTTCACGGCTGCACAGATGCAGAATAAAGGTGGACGGAACGTAGATTTTAGAAGGTAGATTTACACGGAAGATAGAGATATTAAGTGATGATGTAACAATGTAAGCGCAGAACGTACATTCGGCACGGCTGCATCGGGTCAACGGTTTGGGTGCCCCTGATGGTGGGCTGATCCTGTGCCGAGAGGTCGAGATGAGGGATGGAATCCCAACATGTCTGTCATGAGAACTTGCTGGTCTCACATCGACTTCCAGATTCAAGTGGCTGTACTAACAACAGCCGTACTAACGCCATCACCGTGTCGAGCATTCGCACAATACCAGGAAACAGTGCTCCCAGAAATACATCAGGAGAACGTACCTCAAAAACGGTCGCTGGTTTTAGACATCCGGCAGGCCGCCCGTTAGTGCATGACAAAAAACACAGCCAGTTCTCCGAAGCATGACACTTAAGGCTGCTTACATTTGCGGCAAGCACTGTTCGGTGAACTCTATCTCATGTATGTAGTGTCCCTGACGAACCGCGTGGTGTACCCCTCCCCACTTGGAGTGTTCTGAAACTGCCTCTCCTCATGCTCTGGGCAGCGCTCAGTGTACACTGATGAGCGAAAACGGGCTGCTGACATACTCAGACTGACCCCGTCAGAAAAAACAGGCACTGTACGCTGTGTGCCCGCACAAAATAATCTCAGAGCAGG